CGTTTTTTAAGAATTAAAAATAATCTGATTTTGGAGTTTTACAATGAACACATTGCTTGGGACGGCCCACATAAACGAGCAAAAATGCTTTACATGTCTTGAAATAATAATTTCTAAACATTAAACATTGACTGTCAGTCTTTATTCACCTGTTTCTCGTTGTTTCTCATTAAAATTAATTAAAGTGAATATTGTAAATTACATCGCTAATGTCATAGAATAGCACATTGTAACGCAGTGTTACAACTTGCCCCATCTGCGCAACTGGAATTTAAAGCTGGTTAGTGTCTTCTGCTAGTAATCAAAGCATTAAAAAACTATCTGAACTGATAAATAACAGATTGGAGATTAAAATAATAGTAGATTTGTCTCATTTTAAATGAATAATAAAAACTGAGATAAAAAATTTACTTAAGCCAGAATTTAAATGTTACTATGGTAAAATAAATATTCAAACCATGTGTGTTACAACTAACACCCTGTTACTTTGTGCATCGCACTCATCGCAAGTTTATTGTTAAATTGTTAAATGCCCTTACATATCTCTGTCACCATTATAAGTGTTTGATCACCACATTTGAGTGATCATTGCAAAAAATGTGTTTATGTATATATATTCTGTTTATGTATATACTGTATTCTATATATAGTACCAGTCAAATGTTTGGACACACGAGTGGGAAAGTGTCCAAACTTTTGACTGGTACTGTACTATAATATACACAAAGAATATCGGCCGATATATCGGTATCGGCCTTTTTTTTACTCCCTAATATCGGTATCGGCCCCATCGGTCGGGCTCTAGAAAGTACGTCAAAAAAATCGTTGATCCATTTTGGTGGAAGTGATGAACTGCAAGCTTTGAATGCTTATATCTTCTAAATGCAAATTTTGTCACTGTTTTGGAGCACACTGGCTTATAGATAACCTTAAGACCTAAACCTTAAGTATATTGATACCAACACCCAAAAAACTTTAATTTTGATTTGACAGGGACTTCAATTCAAATTATTAAATGGATGCCACCTTATGGGACAATAAAGCCCTCTCTTCACCTATCCTAACCCTACCCAATACTTTATTTTCAACTTTTCAATTATTTCCTTCATTTTTATTGAAAATAAATGCCTTTCCGATGTGATATGAGATTTGAAATGGGAGAAAAAAATGTTTATCAAAAGGCGGATTCGAACTCTGGTCGATTGCGTCAAAATGACTGCAGCACGTGCTTTACCATTTACGCCACTGGAGCTCTTTTTAACGGTCTCTTTTGTAGTGTTGACTAGCCCAATCACACGTTGGTGGATGGAGTTAGTGTAAATAGCCTCTGCCAACAAGGCGGCCTGTTTGCACTTAGTGTAAATAGACACTCCGAAAAAGGCAACACTGAAGGAGAAGGTGTGTCCAAACTTTTGATTGGTAGTGTGTGTATATATATATATATATATATATATATTTATACATTTATATGTACTGTATGTATAGTATACATTTATTTATTTTTTGGTCTGTTATTGGACCTGATAATAAAGAGCATTTCTCAATTCTGTTTTTAGTTCCCTGACAACTTACCCTGTTCAGTAGGACTACAGCCAGCCCCAAAAGATGTTGGAAAGGTATCCATTAACATCAAACCATTCTTCTAAACTGTGAACCAATTTTTCTACCTAATTTTGACATATTGTTTCTTTTGTATGTACATGATATATAGCCTCTTTGTAGTATCTATTTTTTCACAGAACTGTCTAATGTTTTTCACAGCACTGTGCTGTTGAGTTTGAGGTGAAAGCTTTCTGTGCTGAAAGCCAGGATGCCAAAGTTCGCAAACGGTTAGTCCAAGCTACAACTCTTTGTTCTTATTTTCTATACAGGGGAAACATAGTGGATACTGTTGTATACAAGCCTGCCATGATTTACTTGCCTATTGTCCTACCATTATCCTAATTCCTTCATGTTGTCTATGGAGCAATGTAGACCATTTTGGGGTATCTCAACAATGACATATGTCGTCTTCTCCTCTTCCTCAATCAGGAGCTCAGTACGTTTGATGATTCGTAAGGTCCAGTATGCTCCAGAGAATCTAGGACCAGCTCCCTGTGTGGAGACCACTCGTGACTTTCTCATGTCTGATAAACCATTGCACATGGAGGCAAGCTTACAGAAGCAGGTGGGTTTTAAACAGACCACTAGATGAGCATGCATGTATCATAATTTGTGTCTTTCTTTGGTGTTATTAGCAATGTTTCATGTTATTTTTTTAAATGTAAAATGTTTATTGGAATATAATAAATCAATGTGGAATATTGCACGCACCATAGTTTTTATTAAATTAGATAATTACAATTTTCTCTTGTAGACTTACTATCATGGGGAACCCATCAACGTAAGGGTCAAAATTAGTAATGACTCCAACAAAAATGTGAGGAACATCATAATTTCTGGTAAGATCAGATTTGAAAGCATTGACAAGTCGATTAGAAATAAGAGTTAAGAAACAAGAAATAAGAGTGGTCATAAATAAGGTTTTCTTTTCAAGAATTGTGTTCTTTTAAAGGGGTCATATGATGCGATTTCAAGTTTTCCTTTCTCTTTGGAGTGTTACAAGCTCTTGGTGCATAAAGAAGATCTGTAAAGTTGGAAAGACTAAAGTCTCAAATCCAAAGAGATATTCTTTATAAAAGTTAAGAGTCAGCCACACCTACCTAAAACGGCTCATTTTAACACGCCCCCACATGTCTACATCACTATGTGGGAAGATTTGCATAACGCCGCCCAAATGTTCACGCAAAGAAAGAAGGCGTGGTTTCAGGAGCAGCAGTAGTGTTGATGCAGCCATGTAAGGGAGACGCTGTGTTTCGATGCGAAACAAAAAGCACTTTATTTGGCCTTCCAGAAGTAGATGCAATTAGGAATCATTGGTTAAGATTTATTTACAACAGAACAGCACAACCCAGATGTTCGAATTTGTGCAAAGCATTTTATGGACGACAGTTTTTTGAACCTAGAAGAGTACAAGGCTG